GGTAACATCATCAGGACTTCCATCCCCTCCTCGGTTGGTATCTCTTGGAGATACGCCTCGGGATGTTATTTCTAGCTCGACCATGCTAGATAATTTGGCTGTGGATGGTGGCTGTTGGTTTGTTGAGGTTTCAGGTTGGATTGGCTGTGGAGTTTGGCTTGGTAGAGCAGTTTGCTCAAGTGATCGAGGTCGCTTGTTCTCCCCCTCATGAGGATCCGAATCATCGGGGTCCTCATGGGAACGTTTGCGACCACGAAGACTCTCCTTGCAAGTGCTCTTGGTTTCGGGTGAAGAAAGAAGGGCTTCAAGTATGGCTTGCTGATGAAGAGTGAGCTTGTCTTCTGGGGTGTTTAAGAGGTTGTTCAGCAAAGCCGAAGCTAGTGTGTCAAAGGACAGTGAGGAGAGATCGATGGAGGGTGTGGTCGGGTGTGGGGAGAATACTGGTTCTGTATCCTGGGTTCCCCGAGAAATAGAGGGAATGGGAATTTGGTTTATGGATTGGTGGGATAGAGGGGTGGAGGATATGGGTTGTGTATGAGAGATGAACGGTTCAGGGGAAGGTTGGGGTGGTGTTTGTTCAGACCGAACCGCTTGGGTGGTCCTAAATTCCTGTGCTAGAGCGGTCATTGCATCTTGCACCCATGGCTTAATGGTGGAATCCAGGAAGCGATTCAGTAGAACGTTTACGTCTTCAAAGGTAGGGTGACCAGTTACGGGGGTTGTAACTGTTGACACAGCATCAGTGAAGATTGCTGATGTGTGGCCTGCATTTAATGATGGAATCATTATGGGCGTAGCAGGGCTTCCAACCGTCATAGCTTGCGCTCTGGTTGTTGCGTTCAGGGTGAGTGCACCTGTATGTGCAGTGAATAGTGTAGGTGTCCTAGAAAATGAAGAAAATGTGGGGAATGTGACACCTAGACTCGATGTGTGAGAAGAAGGGGTTTTTACCTCGGGAGATAGGTCAATTGTATGCTCAACTGATTCAGAAGGAACCAGCGAGGGGGTTGAGTCCCGTTCTTTTGAAACAATAGCCTTTTGAGAGGCTATCGAGTGGCTGGGAGAGGGCTGTGCATGCGCAGTTGAGCCAGATGCTGCGACTTCTACCCGGGAACCGAAAAGATCGGCTCCTGTGCTTAGGGATTCGGCTCGGCTTATCTGGATAAAGGAGTCGCAGGCCGCGAAGATGTGCTCGTCTGCCTTATCAAATAGGCTCTTTCTGGCTTGGGGCTGGGGCTTGGCCTTGGCAGCCTTGTCATTCTTGACCTTTGCCCTGGTCTCTCGGATGACGACTTCTTCCGAGTTGAATGATGCCTTAATGGAATGAGCCGCCTCGTCGTATTCATCCTTGGAGCAATTTGTCTTGCTCGGATCAGCTCTTGGTTTAGCCTTTTCTTTTATTGTGAAGACTTGAGGTCTGCCAGCTATGATTGGTGCTGCGTCTTCAGCAGTAATTCTTCTCTTCTTCGGAGATTCGACGGGCAGCTTCCCTATTCTGATCAGGGCATATGTGAGCTCCACATCATCACTATCGTTGTCATCATCGTCATCATCCGAGCCAGATTCTCCGCTCTCCGTGCCCACGCTCTCGGAAGCCTCGTCGTCAGTGTTTGTTTGGGCTTCACTTGACGATTCATTGGCAGTTTCCTCAGCGTCTTTTTCGGTGCCCTCAGCCGCCTGACTCGTCTCAAGAGAGTCGTCAGACTTTCCTTCATTGGGCGAACCGGCCACTGGTTTCTGTGGCTTTTGAGCTCTCTTGGGACCCTTACTAACACTCGGCTTTGTCCCTTGGGTAGGTCCAGCTGGGTTTTGCTGAACCATAGGGACGGTCTTCTCTGTGGCTTCCTTGTACTGCTGAACAGCTGGATTTGAAGATCTTACAAGGTTGAGCAGAAACCCAGGGATCCGCAGACCGTAGGTAGGGTTCTTGTCTGCTTTAAAGTATTGCATCTTTGGGGCTTTGTAGTGTGGATCGGAGCTGCGTTTTGGGATTGACGAGTGCTCTGCCATGCAGTCGTTGATGATCAGCCCAAGCCACCTTGCATATGGGATGGTACCTGGCCTATTCTTTTCCTTGGCCTTGACCAGGTCCATTAGCTCTGAGAAGAAGAGCTGTGCCAAGTCATAATGTTTGTTGAAGGCGATCCCGTAGAAGACTAGCAGTATTTGCTTGTTGCACTTGTCGAAGCCAGCATGCTTTGGCGACAAGCATTTGTTCACCATTCCAAACAGATTCTTCCACGGGTGTCGGAGATAGGCACCGTTGAAGTTGGACAGTTGTGGCAGTAAAGATGTGTAGCCTAGTGATGCTACGTCTTTCAGTAGATCGGGGATGGATGGCAGCTCATCATATGTATCTCGATCTGGCAGCGCTAATGTAGTGTGCAGTGTTGATGGTGTAAGGATCACCCGCATGCCGTTTAGCTTGGTCTTTATTTTTGAGCGATCCTTCGGAGATTCTGTATGCATGTGTGATCGGCTAAAACTTGCAAGTGTACAAGTGCCAATGTAGTAATAAATTCCGGTAAAAATACCGGGTCGAACACAAGGAAACGTTGTTTATATGATTCAAAAGTGAAAGCGGTTTAGTAAAAGAATTAAGAAAAGAGTAAAGCTTTTTGATTTTTGTAAGAGATAATAAAAGCAACCAAGGGTTCGGGATTACTCCTAAACGACTCTTAGTGATGAATATATGTTCTTTCGCCAATTCTTATGAGTGGAATGTCACTAAAGTATTCTAACTCCTGTTACGGCAGCGAGATTGTGATTAATTCTACGTGTGAATCCCGTCACGGTTCACATTCATCTAAAATTAACCCCATTGAAGATTAGGACATTATAAAAACCACCATACTCAATTGAGGTATATTTCTATCCACAATTAGAATATGTCTAACCTTTAAGTGCACGGTTTATAACTCAACGTTAATTGCTCAAATAAACCCAACGATATAATCATACGTTGTACACCGTAGTCATACACATTAAAATATAAAGGAAAGATCATAATAATTTGGTTGAGAACATACATCAAACACCTAGAGTGCGTAAAGTTTCATCCCTAACCTTGGCTATAGAAAATTAGCTAGAACAATTCATAATAAAATTACAAGTATTGAAATGATAAAATACAATGAAATACATAAGAAAATGATACCACAACTCCAAAGCTATGGTGGATAAAGCTTTCCCCAAGTGTAGAACTTCTCCCAAGACCAAGGGGTTGCTCTTGGGATGCCAAAGTAGAAGTAAAGTGTGTAGAATATGGAATAATCTCTTGAGAGGGCTTCAACCCTCTTAAATATTGAGTTCTCAACGGCCATTTTCGGACAAGGAAGCAAGCTCCTTAATGGGATTTGGTGTTTTGCCCGAATGATTGTGATGACCGTTGCTTGTTTTAATCAGCTCCAGGCGAAAGGCGGGCAGCTTTCGTAAAAGCCGGGCGGCTTTTGTGAGTTTAAAACGGGCTTCTCCGCTCCAGGGACCGAAAGCCGGGCGGCTTTCGCCAAAAGCCGGGCGGCTTTTGGTTCGGTTTCCTGAATATTTTCCACGGCGCCCAAAGCCGGGCGCCTTTCATGAAAGCCGGGCGGCTTTCGTCTGTTTTTGCTCCGGGTGCTTTTCCTTCATCTTCGGACCGCAACTGGATGGCTGGTTGGTGAAAACCGTCCGGTTTTGGTGAAAGCTGGACGGCTTTCACCCCTTTGGTGTATTTTCCTTTTTTTCCTTTTGTTCTCGGGATGCGTTTGATTGACCTTTACTTGTCGGGATTCTTCGTGTGTCTTTTCATCCTCGTATTTGATCCAATTGTCGATTATAGTATTTCTTGCAAAACGAGACATATGTGTGAGAGTTTTATTCTTTTAAGTATAAAAGCGTTTATAAATTGTTGTATAAATTACGTTAATAAAACGCTTATCAAATACCCCCACACTTGAGCTTTGCTTGTCCTCAAGCAAATTTAAAACTTTTTGTTTTAGTAGAATTATTAGGTTAAAACCTTAAGAAAAAAACTTTTGAAAAAAAAGTTTTGGAGGACAAGGGTTTTGCTAAAATATTTTTGAAAAAATATGGACCAAAAGTAAACAAATTAAGGAGAAAAAAATCCTGCAATTTAGAAGTTAAAGGAGCACCCCCCCACACTTGTTCCACAATGTCTCAATGTGGATCACAAAGAGCAATCAAAGCAAGATTAAACACACATAGCACAAAGACAACATTAGAGTCAAAATAACAACAAACAAGAGTTTGAGCAAGACTAGATAAGAATTGTTTTAGTACACTTCCCTTTTGTTGTCAACTTTACTCATCGTTCTCATCTCCCTCTTCTCGGGAAGGAAAAAAAAGTTTGGATCGTAGGGCGGCGGCGGTGGTATGTTGAAATGTCTCCCCAACTCTTGACAGTAGTAGTTCATGCTCCACAAATGGCTCCCCATTCCCTGGATAGCGTGGCGTTGATCTCTCAAGTCTCGTCTATGCACCGCAAGCTCCGTGCGGATTTGACCAAATTGCTCGGTCAAGTAGTCCATATCGTAAGGAGCTCCGGCTTGGGGGATGTGAGCTGCCTCTTCATGGTGCTCCTCATGGCCTCCCGCGGGTTCCCCACCTTCCATCTTCTCCTCTTCATCCTCCTCCGGTACAACTCTGTGGAACTTCGCCACACACCTCCATGGTCCTCCGTGCGGCGGTTGGAAATAGCGGAGGTGGGTCATGACGCTATCATCAAGCACGGCGTGCATCTCCCTTTCTTCTTCTCCTCTAAAACTAACACCAAAATGTTGAAAAATTTTAGAGAGCAAAATAGGGAAAATGAAGGCCTTATCTTGATTGTTGCTTAAGACCGCGCTCCACAATTGCTTGATGATGATGCCCGAGAGAGGAATCCCCTCATGACGATCAAGCCCGGTGTGCATCCTATATGCAAAGTAGAGGTCGGCACTTCGGATTTTGTTGTAGCCGCTCGCTCTCGACATGACGTTGAACGAGTAGAGGTACATCAAAATCCGGGTCCGGATGTGTGGTTGGCCGAGGTTCTTCGTCATTAGATCCAGTCCTTGCAACCCAAAATATTGCATAGCTTCCATGGGATTGTAGTTCCCATCACTATTCATTGTTCTGGCTTGGGAAGGAGCGAAAGGGGTGCCGAACTTGGTGATGTGAAATTGAGAGCTCAAGAGGTCATTGGTGATAGTAATGTTGACCCCTTTGACTCGGCTCTCAATCATCTTTTGGGCATAATTTCCTTCAACATTAGCGAAGAACTCCTTTACGAGTTCCGGATAGAAGGTGCCTTGGAGATGTAGCACCGGTTCCCAATTGATCTTGGCGAAGGCGGCGGTGAGCTGGAATTCGTGATCAATAGGGGCTGAGATTGTCTTTTCAATCACAAAGTCGTTGTCCCGGGACTCGAGATAACGCTCGTAGCATTGAGTGTTCACAAACCGACTAGCCGGCAAGATAGTGGAGGAGGCCGCGGGTGCCTTGTTGTTCCTAGCCCACTTGGGGTTGCTCGGGCCAGCCTCATTTCTTACAGATTTGCCCTTTGAAGCCATTTCAACCTACAAACTCAATAGATTATAGTCAATTTCTCAAAAAAAATTGACATGGATTCCCCTAAAAATTGACTGTAATCACAATTTAGGACAACAAGGGACAACATACTCACAATCTCATTTATCAACAATTAAGCACAATAATTCAATTGAAAAACCCCAATTTTAAACAAGAATTTCGAACCCTAAGCCCCAATTTTAATCAAGTAGCAAAAATTTCAAAAATTTTGAAAATAACAACTTGAAAAGAGGTTATAATGGTTCATACAAGCAATATAGGAAACAATAACAAGATATCATGCAATGAATTTGGCCTAATAGCTATCAATTTGTAAAAACCCTAAATTTCGAAATTGGGAAGAACAATCAAAACTATCGATTAAATGATGTAAAAGCTGTGAAATAAGGATTAAGAAGTGAAAATGAGTGGATATTACCTGATTTGAGCTTGAAATTGGAGAAGAAATGGGAGAAAACGGATGCTATGGCAGCTTGAGCTCGAACGTCGGCCGGAGTTTGGAAGGTGTGCGTGTGTTTGTGTTTAAAGGGAAGGGGTTTTAATAATTCCGTACCCCGAAAGCCGGGCGGCTTTGGCGAAAGCCGGGCGGCTTTGGCGAAAGCCGGGCGGCTTTCGCTTGACAGTAGCAGACCTGCACACGTAAGCCGGGCGGCTTACACGAAACCCGGGCGGGTTTCGATTTTAAAAATTCTGAATTAAGCTACGGCGCCCAAAGCCGGGCGGCTTTGGCGAAAGCCGGGCGCCTTTGGCGTGCGAGAAAAATACCTGGAAAAGCATGGAAGCCGGGCGGCTTTGGGGAGAGGCCGGGCGGCTTTCGTCGTTTTCACCTATTTCGCCTGTTTTTGTCAAATTTTCGCTTAACACTTCGAACTTCTTGCCTTTTTCTCTCCCCCTACACTTGAATTGCATTGTCCACAAGCAATAGGAGTATAACAACAAAATAAAAGTAAAACATGTAAATAAAAAGGATATGAAATTGGGTTGCCTCCCAATAAGCGCCTTCTTTAACGTCGTTGGCCGGACGTTCTTCGTGATCATTTCTAGGATGGGTAGGCGGTGGTGTAGTACTCTTTGTGCAGCTTCAAATGATGGCTATTCACAACAAAAGGTGGATTACTTCCTTGTTGGATCATCATTGTTCCAAATGGCTGGACCTCGGTGATGGTAAACGGTCCCGACCAAGGGGATTTCTGTTTTTCGGGGTACAACCGGGACTTTGAGTCATGAAGAAGCACTTTATGCCCAATTTGTAGCTCGATTTCGCCTTTCTTTTTGTCATGCCATGCTTCAACCTTCTCCTTGTAGATACGAGAATCCTCCTGAGCTTCCCGCTTTGAAGTACCTTGAGGTATATTATCAAAATCATTGATATTAAAACATGTGGAGTCGTTAGGAGGATTCTTTAGGGACTCCCAAACATGAAATTCTTGCTCCTCTTCTCCAATACGGAATTTCACTATTCCGTTCTTGACATCAATAAGAGCGCCCGCTGTGGCTAGAAATGACCTCCCGAGAATAACCAGAATCTCCATTTCATCCATTTCTAAAATAAGAAAGTCAACCGGGAGATAGAATTTGCCCACCTTCACAAGAACATCTTCCACCACTCCGATGGGATAACGGATTGTTCTATCCGCTAATTGAAGAGCTATAGTTGTTGGTTTAGGTTCCCCCACACCTAGCTTCTTGAATAAGGAGAGGGGCATAAGATTGATGCTAGCTCCAAGATCACAAAGGGACCTTACTTCTCCTAGACTCCCAATAGAGCAAGGGATGGTGAAACTTCCGGGGTCCTTCAACTTTGGAGGTAGTTTGTTTTGGATGATAGCGCTACACTCCTCCGTGAGTGGTATGGTCGCAAAATCCGCTAACTTCTTCTTGTTATTGAGGATATTTTTCAGAAATTTCGCATATGAGGGTATTTCCGCTATAGCCTCAGCGAAAGGGATGTTGATGCTCAACTTGGTAAAAATGTCTAGGAACTTCTTGAATTGTTTTTCCTCATCCTTCTTCTTCAACTTTTGAGGGTAGGGAATAGGGGGAACATATGTTGCCATGGGTGGTGGTAATGAGACATGCTCATCTAGCTTTTCATCTCCTTGCTTCTCCAAGGGTACATCTTGAATAACCGCCCCCTTCATTTCTTTACCACTTCTCAAGGTGATTGCCATAGCCGTTTCTCTTGGATTAACCTCCGTTGTTGTGGGAAATCTTCCATGCTCTCTAGTGGTCCTTTCTTGAGCAAGTTGACCAATTTGAACTTCCAAGTTATGAATAGAGGACTTGGTATATTGCTCAAGGTTGTCCATGCGTTGATTAAGCTTCCTATTTTGATCTTCAAAACGCATGTCAAGTTTGGTGAATTGATTGTGGAGATTCCCAATGGATGCTTCCATTCTACTATGGTTTTCTTCATTTTGGGCTTTCATAGCGGTTACATTCTTTGTGAGAAGCCTCATCATCTCCTCCACAGTAGGTTCTTGTGATTGCCCAAATTTGGGAGCTCCGGGTTGAGGGTTTGAAGAATTCCCTTGTGGCTTCCAATTGTTTCCATGGTAGTACCATTGTTGATTGTTGTTGAAAAAATTATTTCCTCCTTGATTTGCCCGGTTACCATAGGAATTCATGTAACTAACATCCTCAAGATGTTGAGATGAGTTACCTTCCACGTTGGAGACACTCTCCACATTCGCTACTTGTTGAACACCTCCAATAACGACTTGCAAAGCTGTTTGAATTGATGTTTGCACATTTTGTTGGACTTTGATTTGAAATTCTTCAAATCTTTTGTCTAGTTCATGAGTGATAGAAATCTCATTCACTCCCGCCACCTTGATGTCTCCTCCTTGAAGTTGAGGATTTGAAGCAATGGACTCAAGAATTCTAAAAGCTTCCGTCTCGGTTTTGTTGCCAATGTATTCCTCCGCTCGGTTGTCCACAATAGCTTGACAAGATGAGTTCAAGCCATTGTAAAAAGTGTCAATTTGGAGGTCAAGAGGAATGCGGTGATGGGGGCATTCCTTCAACAAAGACTTGAAACGCCTCCATGCGTCTTGAAAGAGTTCTCCAACTTGTTGTTTGAAGTTGAAGATTCGTTGTCGTAGCTCTTGCGTCATTGTTGGGGTGTAGTACTTGGAGATGAAGACATTGTATATTTCATCCCAAGTAGTATAGGATGCCGGTGCTTGCTCTAGAAATCACCCTCTTGCCGCTCCCTTCAAGGTGTAGGGGAAACATTTGAGCCTAAGATCACCTTCATTTAGGCCATTCCTTGGAACACCTTGAATGAACCCATAAAATTCAGTGATGAAATTTAATGGATTCTCCCCTGGTTGTCCATAAAAGTGCGGCATAGCGTTGAAGTAGCTATTCCGCAACTCATAGTCTCGTGCCACCTCGCTGAGCACGATGCAAGAAGGAGTTGTTGCAATGACGGGCCTCTTCCTTTCATTGAGTGTAGGAAGCATTGTTGGTGCTTTTGCTTCCTTCTTTCGATTCCTTCTACAAGCTCTCTCGATTTCAAGGTTGATAGGTTCAAGGTTTGTAGAGCCTTGACTTCTCAATAGCATGCACTAAGAGCTTATCTACACAACAAAATTTAAAACAATACCAAGTGAAGTGTAATGGGAAAATTAAGGAATTTTTGTTGAATCGTATAAAACAAAACCGTTTCCCCGGCAACGGCGCCAAAAACTTGATCGGCTAAAACTTGCAAGTGTACAAGTGCCAATGTAGTAATAAATTCCGGTAAAAATACCGGGTCGAACACAAGGAAACGTTGTTTATATGATTCAAAAGTGAAAGCGGTTTAGTAAAAGAATTAAGAAAAGAGTAAAGCTTTTTGATTTTTGTAAGAGATAATAAAAGCAACCAAGGGTTCGGGATTACTCCTAAACGACTCTTAGTGATGAATATATGTTCTTTCGCCAATTCTTATGAGTGGAATGTCACTAAAGTATTCTAACTCCTGTTACGGCAGCGAGATTGTGATTAATTCTACGTGTGAATCCCGTCACGGTTCACATTCATCTAAAATTAACCCCATTGAAGATTAGGACATTATAAAAACCACCATACTCAATTGAGGTATATTTCTATCCACAATTAGAATATGTCTAACCTTTAAGTGCACGGTTTATAACTCAACGTTAATTGCTCAAATAAACCCAACGATATAATCATACGTTGTACACCGTAGTCATACACATTAAAATATAAAGGAAAGATCATAATAATTTGGTTGAGAACATACATCAAACACCTAGAGTGCGTAAAGTTTCATCCCTAACCTTGGCTATAGAAAATTAGCTAGAACAATTCATAATAAAATTACAAGTATTGAAATGATAAAATACAATGAAAAACATAAGAAAATGATACCACAACTCCAAAGCTATGGTGGATAAAGCTTTCCCCAAGTGTAGAACTTCTCCCAAGACCAAGGGGTTGCTCTTGGGATGCCAAAGTAGAAGTAAAGTGTGTAGAATATGGAATAATCTCTTGAGAGGGCTTCAACCCTCTTAAATATTGAGTTCTCAACGGCCATTTTTGGACAAGGAAGCAAGCTCCTTAATGGGATTTGGTGTTTTGCCCGAATGATTGTGATGACCGTTGCTTGTTTTAATCAGCTCCAGGCGAAAGGCGGGCGACTTTCGTAAAAGCCGGGCGGCTTTTGCGAGTTTAAAACGGGCTTCTCCGCTCCAGGGACCGAAAGTTGGGCGGCTTTCGCCAAAAGCCGGGCGGCTTTTGGTTCGGTTTGCTGAATATTTTCCACGGCGCCCAAAGCCGGGCGGCTTTCGTCTTTTTTTGCTCCGGGTGCTTTTCCTTCATCTTCGGACCGCAACTGGATGGCTGGTTGGTGAAAACCGGCCGGTTTTGGTGAAAGTCGGGCGGCTTTCACCCCTTTGGTCTATTTTCCTTTTTTTCCTTTTGTTCTCGGGATGCGTTTGGTTGACCTTTACTTGTCGGGATTCTTCGTGTGTCTTTTCATCCTCGTATTTGATCCAATTGTCGATTATAGTATTTCTTGCAAAACGAGACATATGTGTGAGAGTTTTATTCTTTTAAGTATAAAAGCGTTTATAAATTGTTGTATAAATTACGTTAATAAAATGCTTATCAATGTGCCCCCAGAACTGTTGTAGGTATATCTCTGGCACCGGTTTTGAGTTGTGAAGTGCAGGCCAGAGATAGTGACCTTTCATGATGGCTGGAACGATCGGGTTCTGACACTTGAAGACTGCAAGGTCTAGCTGGAAATTGTTGTCCAGCACCTTGATCCATTTTTCTTGGGAGTAGATGGTATCATCGATCTGTGCTTTGGTGTTTCCTGCCATTTTAGAACTGTAGAAATAGGGGTCAGCATATGAAATTCAACTGTTTGACTTGATTGAAAGAGTTTGATTTGAAGTTTTCAGATAAGTTTATGCAGGTGGAATTTTGAAAACAAATTTTCTAAGTCCAAATCTCGAGATCTGAATCTCGAGATCATGATTTCGAGATCCAAATCTCGAGATCTTGATTTCGAGATTCAAATCTCGAGATCAAGATGTCGAGATGTAGATCTCGAGATCTTGATT